CGGGCTGGTTCTCCCGCGTTGCGCGTCCCGGCCGAAGTGGCGGAGCCGGAGGACCTTCGAATGGAGGTACTGACGGTGCAACTGGATCTCGAGTGCGGATCTCGAGTCCGCGCACCCATACACCGACCACCACCTGCTATAAAAATGTGCGGATGGTGGCCACGAGGGTGTGTGGGGGGGGGATTGGGGGCCTGCAGCTCCGGGGTCTCTCCTCTCCGGCCTCTCCCCTAACCGGGGGCTCTGAGGTTTATAGTGGCCAGAGAGGGGTGAGCTCGGCTTTTTCCCTCCCAGCAGCGTCCAGAGGACCCCGGAGACACAGCAGCTGGGCCGGTACGGCTGCCGGGCCACTTCCAAATTCCCTGAGGTTGGCGTCCCTGAAGTCCGACCCGGAGGGCCAGGGCAGCGATGTTGGCTGAGGCTCCCGGCCCGTGGGGCCCATTCGCAGCCAGGCCAGTCTAGGCCCAGAGCCAGCCGGGGCTCCGCCACGCGCAACAGGTCTCGGGAGGGCGGGTGATTCCAGAGTTCCCAGATTTGTTTCGAAGAGCACACTCCCAGCTCTGCACTCCAGGCACTCCTTCCCTGCCTCGGAAGCGTGGGCCTCCCCGACTTCTTTCCCAAGTCTCTCGGGAAGCCGAAGGCACCCGGCCCCGACTCCCCGGAGCTGGAAGGGGCTCGCCACCCAGACCCCTTCCCTTGCCGGGAGCCTGGGGGCCAGAGTCCCAGTGCCAAATACGGCCACGACACGGGGCCCATTGGCAGGAGAGTGCCCGGTGGGGGGCTTGGAAGGCGAGCGCCTGTCCCTGCGGCCCCGAGCCCAGGCCTGGGAGGCGGCGTTTCTCCGGGAGGACAACTCCCCGGAAAGCAGCCCGAGAGTCTCTGCGACAGCTCTGTGAACCAGCCGAGCTGTCCGCCCCGCTATCCCTGCGCTTGCGAAATGAACCCGGAGCTTTGAAGACGATCGTGGGACCAGTTGACTTTAAAAGGTGGAATGGAACTTGTCACTTCCTCTGCCCCCGNCTCGGGCTGTGCGACACCCTCGAGCGCGCAGCCCCACAGCTGTGGGCCCGGGCACAGGCGTGTCACAGCCCGTGGGCTTCTCCGGCCTCTAACAGATGACATCATTTGCAGCTGAACGCAGGCCTTAAAGGGAAATTATGGTCTGTGTAAAATAACGTCCGTGGCCTTGTAGGGGGCGGCATCTGCCACCTCGGCCTTCCCCCCCCACCCCCCATCTGGAGGGACCCGCCTGGCCGCCCAC